TTTCTTTGATCCTTTTTCTCCATTTCTCAACTGTTTTCCTCTTTGTTGTAGGCTCGTTGTAAACTAATGAGGTACTTTGTTTCAGTACTTTGTTTCAGTTTCCTGATTATCATGCACACTCGTATTATGATTTCTTTCAGCAGCTGGTTTCTAAACCACATCCGGACTACTCTATTGGCAAAGCATGACATTTTAACATGCATGTGTCTTCATATAGAGCCTTGTGACAGGAATCACACTCCCTCAACTCTTTGTACAACAGCAACGCAGTTCAATGCATTTGTTGGAGATATGTGGCCAGTAGTCCATGATAGTAAATTCTATATTTCACTGTAGCTCTTGCTGTACTGATAGAAGGTGACTTTCCAACACAACCCCAAGTGTTTTGCAGCCTTTAACAGTTTCCCTCTACTTTCTTGAATTTAACTCTACGTTTACCTGTATTCCCAAAAGCTCTGACCAACTTCCCGGTCCCTCCTGAGTCCCAGTCCCATGATGCTCCTACGACTGTATGATGTATTGAGGATACTGTGCAATTTCAACATGTTTGTTCTGTCCCCTAAATAAAGTCATATGCTGTCATTTAACTTGTAAGCAGTTTTCATTTGCAGGACATTTTAATACATCTGTATTTATTTACATGTTCATTCTCAGTATTAATAATCCATAGTATTTTTTTTCTTTCTTTTTCCTTTTGTAGAAATTGTCAGCTCCAATCAGAATCATGTTGCAGGGAGACACGGGGAATGGAAACAGTGGTGGGTGGTGTTTTGGTTGTAGGAATTTCATTAACATGATATTAGACTTGAGTATACCTTCCTCACATGATTTATTAGTCTCAGCCAGCTGCATAGCTCTTTATCTACATTAAATCCTAGCACACTTGATGTATTAAATGATTCATGATGATGAGCTTGGACACACCTCAAGGTCAGACTGATAACATCAGGATGTTGGATGATGACATCAGTTTAAAGGAGACATTATATATCCTTAGTTTAAGAGTTGACATACTTCCTTCAGACCCTGTTAAAGACAACAGGTTGACAGTACCACCTATCAATGTTTCTTTAAAGCCTGTTTCAGAGCACAGAGTGATTATAAACTCTGCCCAACTCTTCTATTATGCAGTTTTATAAGCTGCATAATGGAAAAGCAAGACAGTTGGTTTTGAATATTCACTTTTGTTGAGCAAAGTTGTATGGAGAGTCATTTAAGGTTGAGGTCGGAGATCCTATGTGGACTTAAAAAATGAATAGGCCTAACAATAATTTTCTAAAATATGAAGTTAAAATGAACTGAAATGTGTCTGAATGACATTTTCTTTATCAAACTGGGTCATGACCATCCATCCATTTTCTGAACACCCTTGTCCCTCAGTGGGGTCGGGAGGGGTGCTGGTGCCTATCTCCAGCTAACGTTCCGGGCGAGAGGCGGGGTACATCCTGGACAGGTCGCCAGTCTGTCGCAGGGCAACACAGACACACAACCATGCGCACACACACACACACACCTAGGGGCAATTTAGACAGACCAATTAACCTAACAGTCATGTTTTTTGGACTGTGGGAGGAAACCGGAGTACCCAGAGAAAACCCACGCATGCACAGGGAGAACATGCAAACTCCATGCAGAAAGACCGGGGCCGGGAATCAAACCCAGAACCTTCTTGCTGCACAGCAACAGCTCTACCAACTGCGCCACTGTGCAGCCCCGGGTCATGACCAAAGAAACACAATTCAATTCTGTTCAGTCAATTCTTTGTGTGCAAATCTTTTGTATAGAGTCCAAATCCATCTAACAACCAATAACATACAATTGGGTTCACAAGAAGAATTTGTGATTTATTCATGATAGAAAATGATTATCTGTAATTTGTGGCTAGTGATTGCATTTGCTTATTCTAATTAATAATGTCAACAGGAAACTACCCAGTAAACTTCCACATTACCTCACCATATATGCGTGGCGAGCGTCATTCCCAAGCCTAATGTCCTCAAAGTTCATCAAGTTCTCTATGCTTTTGTTGCTTCCAAAACATCAGCAATCCACCGAAGTATTTCTAAGTCAGAATGGTTTACTTTTCATCATAGGTCTTGTTGACTCCTCTCCAAACATAACATTTATGGTTGTGGCTATAAGGTACTTTAGAAGATGTTTGGCATAGTAATCATTTTTTTCTGTCGTTACAATCATGTAGTCTTTTTTTTTATATATCTTAGAGGGGCTTCTTAATGTTTTTTTTTTTTTTTTTTTACATTGTCTTTTTGTTTTGAAAATTCCCCTGTGATATGCTGTATTTTCTGGTTGCTCAGATTTTTGTAATAATATTTCTGCCTCCCACTGCAGTTGGAGACATGGTTCAGTTTGTCATGATCCTGAGGTGTTTGGGTTTCGTGGGTTCTCCTGTTTTTGTATTTTGATTATTATTTATTCAACACAGGTTTTTGCTTAATGTTTTTTGTTTGTTTGTTTGTTTGTGAGGAACATTGGGATCTATATGTCTGTGATGTGCTTAGCTAAAATAACATGATTGTTGAACAATGTCTAACACTCCATGCATGAATCTGTTGTTCAACTGGAGAGTTGCGTAAGTGACAGACTTCTGCATCCTACGTACACAAAGGTGCTTTACTGTGGATCCTTGCTGATGTTATGACTCTATTTGCAGTTTTCTCATCAAGTAACACTGCTGCTCTTATTTACATGTTTGAATGTCCTCACATACCTCAAGTTATTGCTGTGAAACATAGTGGAAATCACAAAATGAGAATGCAAGCAAATTTACTGTGAGAATATGCTGGCATCAACTTTAACCACTACTGACTTTTTTTGGTGTGTATCACCTGATGGCACAAAAGACAAGCATAGTCAGTTACATCTCTATTGTTCTATGATCAGTTATATAGCTGGCAAAGCTTCCTCTCCACCACAGAGCCACAGTTAACATAGCTTTGTCAAGCTGGTATTCATTGTGACTCCTCAGTGTTTTGACACTTTGACTGGGATCCAAGCAAACATGTTAAAACATTGATCGAGGCAGTGGTAGACAATTATCTCCTACATGCTGTTAGGAACAATGACAGCATAGTTTATGTTTTTTTTTTGTTTTTTTTTTTTGTAAAGAGTCAGGTACCTTTAATGGCACAAGGACAGCATTTCCAGTAAAGCCATCTGTCTAACGGCAAGAAAAAAAAAGGTGAAAAAATATATTGATAGTAAATATTGATTTTTCTTTTTATCTATTTCTTGCTACTACTGTCCACACTGTTATTGCTAATGGTCTGTAGGAGTATGCCTGCCTGTTTTGCAGAGACAAGAACGGAGCTGCAGCGAACATCAGGTTGCTAACTGTGAATAAACACTTTTTTTTTTCTGACAACACTTCTTCAAAGAAACCAAATTATCACTTTCTATAGTTAGCATCAACGTGTTACTGCTGGTTAGCTCAGTCAGAGACACTGGATCCAAGCATCCACTATTCAAGTGAGCTGTGTGCTACCTTTTTATCGCTTAAATATACTTACTAAGTTATTTGGCTGACAGATCAATTTAGATTGGAAACTGGAAATTGTGAGGTGTGATATATTGCTCAAGGGCACTTTGACATCAAACTGCCTTGTAGTGGTTCCAGGGGCATTGCTGCCGTATTAGACACTAGAGGTTTACTCATGCAGGACGCTCTGTCTTCCCCAGTCAGAATTCTGACTTCAGTGGCCAACGTTGCTGTATTTCTGACTTACAACTGTAATATCCAACTCAGAATATCTGACTTTAGATTAAAAAGTAACTGATCAATCAATCACTTTATGTTTACAAGGGCACTGTAAAAAAAAATCAGGGTTCTGTACCTACAGGGCTTAATAAATGTTCTGATTACATCAACTAATATTTATGTCCATTGATTAAAGAATAGGGCGACATTCCGTGAACAGAAGAAATCTGATGCTTTTGGAGTTTCCTGCAGCTGAAGACATGTCCATTCACACCTGGAGAGGGTGTGATGGGACAGGAGAGCTTAAATATTTTTATTTAATACGTTAGATGCACCTTTAGTGAGTTTAAGTAAGAACTCTTAGAAATCTGTTTGCAGAATGTATAGATTCATAAGCCAGGGTTGTGTCACAGTCGAGCCTCAGTGTCGGTAGAGTGGCATTTTTCCTAGATTTCACTAAGATTGACAGTTTTATCCCCATGTCAGACTGTGCTTCAGCACCCACATTGACCCTGATGTGCTCACTGATGTGTGACTGTGGCAAAGAAAGTGTGACATATGTGCAAAGGAGAGCTATGCAGCACCCTCTGTATTTATTGACCACCCTGCTGAAAATGTGCCATAAGCATAATCTCACACTGCAAAAATAACAAAAACCTAACCTTTAACTTATGTTATTTATTTGTTTAATGTAGATAAACATTTAAGATGGTAGATGTGGAAAAAAAAATGTTTATGTAATGATTATGAACTGTTTAAGATGCTGTGTTCTTGACTTATTACTGGTTTGAAACACAGCCAAAAAATTACTATCTGAAAGTCACGAGTGAACTGTAAACTCAAGTGACCAGGAAATGTTTTAGTCCAATCTGTTGATGTCCAACTTTTATTAACCTTTATGAATTGTAGCCCCAGTTTTCTATTGTCACCTGATTGAAGGGTAACTTGGTGCTCTTCTGCCACTGTAACCCATCTATTCCAAAGTTCCTTACTGTGCATTCAGAGGAGGCTTTTGATTCCAAACACCAACAGGAGGCTCTTTGAGATGGTTTTGCCTTTTATCGTCCGTGACCTCTGGCATTATGTTCTTTTCTTCCATTTTTTTTCCTGAGGTCGCCCAGAGCACCATTTATGGGGAAAAAAAAAAAAAAAAACATCACTAGATTCTTGTAAATTACAGCTAAAATGCACGGTTTAAAAACCTTCGTTCTATTGCATAAATAAATAGACACAGTAGTCAACATCATGTTCCATAGTCGAACCGTCATCGGATTTTATTTTGTAGATGCAGATCGGAAGTAGCGACTCTCACGACACCCGAGGGCTTGACGGCAGATGTCCGGGAGCGCGGAGCGCACACGTCGCTCTCTTCACTACATCGCACCACTGCGGTAGGATCGGAGTGGCATCAGCAGAGGAGCCAGACGGCAGGTGGCCAACACAGTTCACTTGTTCCTGCTCCGCGCAACCCCAGAGGCGACTTTATCACTTAGGAGGTACTTTCCCTTGAAAGGACATACTACAACAGCATCTCCCAGGTTTGTTCCTGCAGCCTGGCGAGAGCGGAGGAAGGAGAAGTTTTGATCGTGTGATTTGTGTGTGTGTGTGTTTTTTTTTTTTTTTTTTTTTTTTTTTATCCACAATCCCTGTAACCTTGGAAGACTCACCTGATTGCTGTGCGAGGATGGGACCGCTACTCCCTTTCATCGTGTTGTGTTTGAGCGCCGCTGTCCCACACCGTGTGAAAGGTGAGTGGAAGAGTGAAGCTGTCATTTCCTCATTTTGCGTTATTTGAGTCGAAGTAAGAGACTGTGTGCAAAAATATATTAAAAAAGTGCTGAGAATTTTAATCAAAGAGACGAAGGTGCACACAACGCTATGTGGGTCTGTATTGTTTGCAGCACCCTGTATGGACGATGTGTTAATATGTATACACGTCCACGACTCATTAGTTAATGGGGTTACTTGTGTTTCTAGGACACTTTTGATGCAGTCAGAAGGTTGAAAACATTTCTTTATCCAGGTATATTTTTACTAGAGGGATGTTTACCGTGTTAGGCGCACAGAGTTCAAATAAAAAATAATAAAAAAAAAAATGGACATTTCTGCGCTCCCTTCTCGAAATGTGCATCAGCTGCTTGTCTGGATAAAATATGCTGAGCGTTCAGGTTTAACTGCCTCTAACAGACGATCACCCCCTTCTCTTTAACAAGCTGGTTTCTGAGAAAATGAAGACAGATGAATACAAAAAAAAAATATATATATATATAAGTGGAACAGAGAAATTACCAAAATGAGAATAAATTGCTCCTTCCTTGGTAGCTGCAATGTTATTGACCAGGATGACATCACCAAAAGGTCAATTAGGCACTTTACATCTAACCTGGAGTTTTAGCATTAACAGCCAGACAATCTTCCCTACAGAGGAAATTGCTACGTGCTTATAGATTGACCTATACACTTTAATATCCATTACAAATCAATCCACGTCCTCTTCTCCTTTTAAGCTTCCCGTCCTTTGGATGTTGGGAATGTTTAGGCTTTTGCCTGCCTTAATGTTGTTCATGGTCAGCACAAAAGCAGTATACCTGTGGGATAGTATGTGAGGAAGACAGTCTGCAGTTGCGCTAATGGAAGTGGGTCATGCCATCCTCCTTGTCTCTATCCATTTAACGACACACTTGCCTCAGGAGTCACACATGTCAGGCAGACCTCGGTCTCTAAACAAGGAGTCTGCCTCGAGCAGACTTTCTAAGGCTCCCTGAGCCACGGTGTCAACTCAGTGTCAACCGTTGCAAAACATAATACACCCTGGTAGACTGGCATAATGAGTCTGGAGGAGAAGAACAGAGCTCTGGTGCTTTGGGTCGACTTGTTCCAAGGCTCGGAGAGTTAAAAATATACCTCGGCGGTACCTTAATTAATCCCAGTAAAAAATGTTGACATTATGAAGTGAAATTCATCTAACTAGCATTGAGCTGATATGAGATTCTCACAGTATGATAACCTTGAGCAAAGATACCTAGGTTTCCTGGTATTTAGGCAAAAAAAAAAAAATGTTTTGCGTTATTGTTTCTTTTTAAAACAGAAAATCAACTATTTTTCTCACAGCTGCTAAAATATTGCAACATATGTAGCAATCTGTTGGACGCAAACTTTTGAAAAATGGATGTTTTCAGGAAATGAACATCTGACCAAAGTTACATGAATTTTTTGTTCATTTTAATCGGAAATGTAGCAATGACACACATATAGTTCTTAATAAAGTTACACTAGGAAACAAAAATGTCTAAAAATGGAGATGTAATGATACAAGGCTATCTTCTTGGGTCATAAGTCTACAATCTGCTACTTTATAGACATTCAGCTCTCAGTTTGGCATCTGCAGTTTCAAATGTAGGCAAAGCAAGTTTAATTGTATCATTTTTTCACAAGGTAATTCAAAGTGCTTTACAAGATAAAGGGAAAAGGTTTTTCTCACAACTCAGTTTTTTCGGGAATTCGTTTTAGAGGTTAGGAGTGTAGCAACTTAATGTAACCTCCTGCTGTTTCGAGGCGGCCCTGATAAAATCAAGTAAAAAGGTCTCTGAATACCAGAGGTGTCTCGGTACCTGGTGAGAAATCTGGATTGTATTCACTGCTGATGCCCTTGGCTTACGGTCCAATTCTCAGCACTTAAAATCACTAGATAGGATGCACTTCTTTCACATCCACGCTTGTGTTATGTGCAACCACGCACATTTCCAAATGACCAAATTTGTCTTTCTTGAAAGCAAACATGTAGAAGTTGTGCCTTTGCTCTCTGACCATTGGAGGAGGGACACCATTGTTTTAAGCCGTTATACTAATCAGGTTTAAAGAATAAACGAAAATCAGTAAAATGCCTTTAAAAAGTTGAAGTGGTAAAACAGCAGTCTATCACCTGCCGATGTATGTATGTCCAAGGAATGTACATGATACAAGATTAAATTCCCTTGAAGGCAACATTGCCTGTAACATCAGATTGAGTCCCAGAGATACAGATACCCTGTGTAGACCGAGGAAACGTTGCACGTATCCGCAGTCATTACTCAATGATCGCTGGTGCCTTCAGAGATAGCCCAAAAAACAAACACTATTGGTGATGTCACACAGTGCCTCTGAAATAAATTGATGTGCCACAAACATTGCCCCCCCAGGTAAAAAACAGACTGCATTGTTCCAAGTCTGTGCGCAATACATCACATCGTCTGGTTGCTGGTGCTGACTCTCACACATTGTTTGGTATTCTGCCTGTCAAGCTTGGACAAAGCACAGGGTTGCACTCAGTGTGTGGAAATGTAAGATGCTCTCCTCTCTGTACAAAGACCTAATGGAATTTTTCTTATTTTCGATTCGGGCCGAATTGTAATAATTGTACAATTGAAGGCTTTTAGGCAAATGGTAAGCCATCTTGATTAGCAGTGTAATTGTCCACATTCAACGAATTATGATTAACGATAATGTTGCTGCTTTGTTTTGGTCAATGGATTCACTCTGAACCAGACAAACTTTTTCAACCTTTTCACAGTGATAAAAATGTCATTGCTAGAATATTAAATAACCTCTTTCAGCTTGGGTCTGGATGGATTTTCAAATTCAGTTTAGTTCAAAACTACTTTATTAATCCAAGGGTGAAATTAAATGCTATAATTCACATGATCCAAGTTTCTTCAAAAAGTTGTTTGAAACACTGATGACCGTTGGGAGAGATGACCTCATGTAGCAGTGTGTATTACTACAGATCTTAAGAAGCCTCTGACTCAGTCTGATGAGGAGGATTCTGTAATGTTCATCTTATGAAGAATCTTTCTTTGTACAGTAATCTCCAGAAGTTCGATGGCATCCTGCTCGTTTGCCGTAAATCTCATGTTGCCCATTATGATCAATGGAAACAATGATTTGAACGTCCTCCTTTTCTCCGTCTTCTTTACTTTTCTGCTCTGGATCTACGGTTCCACTTTTTAGGGTCTTTTTAGGATACCACACATCAGAAGCAAAATAGTGTTTCATATGTATACATCTGCACAATTTTGACACTATTGTAAAACATTTAATGTTTTGTTGAAGTGATGCACTGCTATGCTTCCAATGTGTGTACTAAAAAAAAATAAAACAAACAAGTGCAATTTTATATCTCGTTGAATGCGCCAAATACAGACCCTGTTACTGAGCTTCAGTTTTATCAGATTGTTGACACTTCTGAGTAGGAGAGCCTTGAAAAAGATTGGTTTGACATGGGTAGGGTTAGGGTTGGCTATGCCTTGGTTGGCACCTACCAAATACTGCCACTGTGATTTGTTACATGGGAAAAAAATAAGGCTTTACTTTTGTTGCATGTTTTATGCTGCCATCCATCCATCCATCCATCCATCCATCCATCCATCCATCCATCCATCCATCCATCCATCCATCCATCCATCCATCCATCAAGCTGAGTTCAGCTAATAAGAGCTGATTTAGATGTTTTGCTCGCTGGATTTTGTTTTTTTCATCATGACAGAACAAAACATTGCAACCATTTAAGAACTTGAACCATCTAAACATCTCCTGTTCTTTCCTACCACCAGCTGTGAACATGGCATCAAAATATTTAAACTTGTCGTACGAGGCAGAGACTGACTCTTGACCAGAGGTTGTAGTGCACCTCTATCCAACGGAGAACCATGGCCTCAGGATTAAGCTGAACAAATAGGATTAGTGCTAATTATATTTGCCAAATAAGTACTAGTTGTTGTACTTAACAATTCATATTCTGCACTTCCCTGAACAGCAAGATATAGCTTTGTTTACTATTTAATTGCTAATTCTTGAATACATATACAGCTAATAGGGATTTATCTGAAACCTCGTTGCATTTCTTGGCCTGTGCAAGTTCTGGTTGAACTTTGGGTAACGACTCGCAAACCCTGTCCAATATGCCCTTCATCCCGGTTTTAGATGCAACACTCTTCAATTAGAGAATAAAGGTCAGGACTTTGTCAGATTTCCATCCCTGATAACCGCAGGAATCAATGTGACTCAGGAGATGTGATCCTGTGCATAAGGAAAATTCTGCGTAGGAAACTGTGAGGCACTGACATTGGCTTAAATTATTTTGGGATATATTTGTGGAACTTAATTGGGCTATTCATCGTCCGTGCACATGTTCCTTAATCCCCTTAATATTTGGCAGAGAGGTCATTTGTCTCTTACGGTGACAAGTTAATGGATAAAGTGCTACTTATGTCGTGATGTAGTCAGACCTCTGCTGTCCTGCCTACATTTCATGCTCGACTTAATAGGAGGGCACTAGGGGGACGGTTATAGGGGATTCAAGGACACTCAGGCGAAGAGCTTTAATAAAGGTATGACACAAAGGTGGCAGTGTTGGTTGGAATATATTCTTTAAATCCACACAGCTTCGTGTTAGATTTTGGAAGGAAGCTAAGTAGGTATGTGAATATTTTTGCTTTATCTTTTTATCTTATTTAACCTCTAGTAATCGAGTAAGCCTGTGACTAGTCCACACAGTCTCTTTCGAAATGCTATGCTGGGCTTCAGGCTCATTTCTCGCTTTTTAAGGTAACTTGCAGCTTATCAGTTCCACGTTTGTACATCAGAGAATGGAAAAAGGAGAAATGTTTAAACTCCTCTCATGGAAAGAAAAAAAAAAGGCTTATCGGCAGTAAAAATAGCTTCTTTTCATGCACAACTCTTCTTGTTTTTTTCCCCCTTTCAAATCATTATC